TCCCTTTCTTGCCCCAATCCCTTCATCCCCAAATTAGTACTTCTCCCTGTCCTGGAACTCTGTGAAAAACACCATCACCTCCTCCTGGAGTTCTCAACACCTCCCTCTTTCACTCCACTACATCCAGTAGAATCAAGCCCTCTTGACCCCGAGTCTGCAACCCCAGTCTAACCCCTTCTGACGTTTCATGGCACAGGCCTAATCCTGAGCCTCATTATTTCCAACCTGATTTAGTCTTAAGTATTCTAACTGGGCTTCCAGCTTAACCACCACTGCCTCCACTAACAATTACCCATTTACCAGCATTCTTTCTCTATGTTCCCACTATATTTTGTCCATACAGTTGGCTGTACCCAGATCTGCCTCACTCAAATCAGAGTCCACTGGCTGAGAATACATTCCCAATCAAAAGCTTGTATCAATCCTATCCACAAATCTAAATCTAATCTCCTTGTGAAAATGCATATGATTGATTTTTGCATAACCACATTCTAAACCAGGGCTCATCACATAGAAAGCACTAAAATGTTTGGGGGGTAGGGGGAAAGGAGAAGAAAAGACGGGAAATTGAATACGTGTATTTCTTTCTGAACCTTTAAAGTGTTCCTTATCATAACATCATCCAATGACCTTACAGTATACTTTACAGCACTATCTGATTATGCCTAATCACTTCTTAAGGATAATGTTAATTTCTTACCCCTCTTTAACAGGAAGTATGTCCAGAATGTGTTTCAAGATTCTTGGGCAAAAGGAGATGCACAATCTCTTAATAGTTCATTTCTCATGTTCTCAGTAGAATTCTTCTTGTCAAATCCAAACTGGGTGATACAAGCAACCAAAGCTATGATGCCCCCAGATTTCCCCCATTGAAATGAGAGCTGTAAAGGCACAAGTAATGATTAAATCACTTCCACTTTTGTATTTGTAACAAAGCTACCATCAGATGAAAGAAAGAAAATTTTAACTGATGGACCGCTCAGAATCGAGACACAGTCTGTGACTCTCCTTATGAACTTCCCTCCAGGGAAAATGCCTTGTTCACTTTGGCCTTGGCTGTAGGGGAAGGTGACTTAAGACAGAGATTACATGAAAGCTGTCATTTTGTAAAGGTTACAGGAGATGCAACAAGAGGCAGAATCGAGCTGCCCAGGTGCAGTGGGGGCTGAACATCAAAAGAGGAGTAAAGACAGCGGAGAACGGAGCTGCTTTCTCTGAAGCTTATCTGAGCTCCTTTGGTTGAGAAATCAAGACTTGGAATCTGAAAAAGCTTGCTTGTGACAAAGCCAGTGAGTCTTGGCTTTAGTTGGAAATACCATAGAAGCAGCTTTTCTTGCAACCAATCTGTTTCTCTTATACAGTATGCAGCTACATGTGAAAATAACTCATGAAACTTTTCAAAGAAGCCTTAAGGACTTTAAGAAGGGAAACTTTAAGGGAGAGGGTTCTAATGTTCCATATGAAACCCTTTCTTCCAGAGCCCAGCTATCCCACACAGTACTTGGGTCACAAGTGAAAAAGAGAAGCCAGATGCCAAGTCCAGAATCCAAGATATGAGGCCAATCGAAATGGCAGAAAAATTATTGCTATTTATTGCTAATTATTTATATTTAATATTTATTAAATATAAAATTTGAGAGACCACAGACTCAGAAAAACCAGGACAATGAAGTGGAACCTCTGTCAGCAGAAGCAGCTACCACCAACTGAAGATGTTCGAGATCATCACAGAAGAGAACACGGTATCGAGTATGGAAAAAAACTGGGTAAGAGGTTGTTTTCTTCTTAGACCTCCTGATTTGAGGTAGGGAGAACACTCTGTTCCTATGCCAGTTTGTTTACCTTAAATGAAACATAATAAAACTCCTAACCTGGGGAAAGGAATGTTCCTGCGAGATGCTATCAGAATTATCTGGGGGAGAGGCTGGTTGTTGTAAACACAGTTGCTATCCTTCCTTCCCCCCAATTCTCTCACCTGTTTATTGTGATGTTACTGATGAGTTTGTTACACCTTTTCTCTATATTAAGGAAAAGAATTGATTAATATGGTAATAGAATAATATTTTGAGATAATCCTTAAGGTACAGCTCTGATAATAACGATTATAATAATCACTAATAAAATGCTCATGTTTATTGAATACTTACTATCAAGCAAGTTTGCTGCTGAGCCCTTCATATGAATTACTTATTTAATTCTAGTGAGCTGCTAAGTAAATATTATTATAATAGTATAAATACTATAATCGTTATAAAAAGTAGAAAACGAGGCACAGGTAAGTAACTAGTTCCAGATCACATTAGTCAACCCACGTAGTCTGGCTCCATATCCACGTTACCTCTTCTCAGAATATGACTTAACTGCATAAATTTCAGAAACTCTTTCGCCCAGCGCTCAAGGCCCTCTATACAACGCCTCCTGCTTCTTTCTCTGCTAGCTGGTGTCTCATTTATTTGCACCCTTGTGTAGCAGCAGAACTCCTTGTAAGAGCTGTTTGTACTGTCTTTAATTCTCTTTCCTTTCTCTCTTAACCCCACTATACTCATCCCTAGCACTTTCCCTAAACTGCTCAGTAAGGTCAGCAAAGACATCCAGTGGTCAATCCCAGCCTTGAGCTCATCTGAGCTATGAGTAGCATCTGATACTACAACTGTGCTTGTCTCCTGTGAGCTCTTTCTTCACTGGCTTCAGGCACACTGCAATCTGTTGGCTCTCTCAAAGGCCACTTTTTTCCAATCTTTTTGCTGGTTCCTTCTCTTGGTCATAACCTCTAATGTAGGGTAACTCCAGGGCTCCACTCTTGGTGGTTTTCCCTACTATATCCACTTACTCCCTCAGTGATCTCATGGTTTAAGTCAAAAATCCACATGCGTGCCAGTGACTACAAGCTGAGACCTCCCTCCAGATGAAACACTGCAACTTGGATATCTAACAGGCACCTCAAATTCAATATATTCAGCACTGAACTCCCCAGTCCCTTCTCCCTCAGAATACCTGATTTACATCCACCTTCCCTATTTCTGCTGTTGGAAACTCCATCCTTCCAATTACTCCTGTCAAAAATCTTGTGGTTATTTTTCATTAAAAAATGCATTCTCTTTCCCTTATACCAGAATCTCTGTGGGCTCCACCTTCAAAAATATTTCCAGAATCTGACCATTTCTCATCACTCCACAGCTACTGCACTCACCAACAGTGCCCTGTTTCATTCTCAGCGACATCCTGATTTAAACTGTAAATTAAGTCACCGTCATACAAGGCCCTCCGTGAGCACACCCCCTACCCTGGTGTTACCTCTCTAACCTCACCTCTCTAACCTCACATATTACTTTCACTGGCCCTGAGTCCACTCCAGCCACACTGGTATCTCTTGAAAACCTTTGGTGAGGAAGGCACACTCCTGCTTTGGATCTTCATTCTAGTTGTCCCCTTTGCCTAGAACAGTCTTTTTCCAGGCATCCACGTGGCAAGTTCCTCACTTCCTTCAAGTCTTTGCTTAGTTGTTAGCTATTCCATGAGACGCCTTGTTTAATACTGCAATGAGTCTATCTGTCCACCCCTCGTCCCATTTACCCTGCTCATCTTTTTTCTGTCTCCATGGCATTTACCACCTTTCTACATACTATATAACTTTATGTACTTATTAATTCCTATCATTTAATTCATTATTTGTCTCCCTCCACTAGAATGTAAGCTCTGTGAGATCGTGGCTTTGTTATTTTGTTCACTGATGTATCTCAAAGAACAGGCCCAGCACATATGTAGGTGCCCAATAAATATTTGTTGATTAAAGAAACAAACACATATACATATACAGAGGTCATTATGCCCTCTTATCTTGGACATCCCTCCTCTTCCTGTCCTGCTTCACTGCTTTGCTTCTTGTCATAAATCTTCTGCTTGAAATAGATATTGCCAAAAGTCTCATTTTGGCTCGGAAAAAAATTCCTCTCCACCCTGCCTCCCCACTCAATGGGTTAAGAATAAAAGCAGACTAATAGACTGGAATAGAAACTATGAAATTAATCATTATGTACAATTTAAGAATCAGTAACCAAAGCAAGAGATCCATGGTGTTCTTACCTAACTGCCTTGCATATGCCTGGCACTGAGTCTTAACCACTTAACCTATGAACCCAGGTTCATTTTTAAAACTTCCCATACATTAGGTTCAAAGGAATCCCTGACCAATACTGCCACCTACTGATGAGTAGGTGAGATGTCAGCACAATCAGAAAGTGCAAACCAGTTTATTGAAAACTAGGAAAGACAAAAATAAGAAAAAAACCCATTAAGACAGTAAAATAAGTTCCTTTTCCTAAACAGTGCTAACAAGGAATACACATTGAATTCCATAGCAGCATTAAACAAAGATTGTGTAAGTGCAAGGAATTACAGTGACCTCCTTCATAAAAGAGAAAGCATCACCAAAATAATAATAAGGCAACCAGTCTTCTAAATACCAGCACTTCTACTTTTCACTAGCAACTCCCTTCAGAGTTAAAATACTTGAGATGCAAACACATTTGTTTTTATTTTCCCTCACAAATAAACAACAAAAAAAAAATCTACCCTGATATTTCAAACTCACTTAAGGAAAAAAAAAAAAAAAAAAAAAATCTCCCCTGAAATTTCAAACCCCCTTAAGGAAAAAAAAAAAAAAAAAAAAATCTACCCTGATATTTCAAACTCACTTAAGGAAAAAAAAAAAAAAAAAAAAATCACAGCAAAAGCATTTGGAATACCAGGACATTTATATTTGAGGTTTTACACTATCAAGTTTCTCCTCTTTAGAAATGTAGATGGATTTTTTTATTATTTACATGCAATATTGCTCAATGTCAATGAACTTGGGTCATAATTTCTAAGAAAAACTCAAAATGGCATTTTCACATTTTCATTTTTCTTTACCAAGATCTGGTACTTTGTCATGATCAAAAACCTCGTGTCGTCCCTTCTCCCCAGGTAGGTAGTAAACATGGTAAAAATTAGTTGGCATATGCTTTTAGAAAGCCATTTATTTAAATCATTATATTCACTCCTGTCTTTTGTTGAAGTTATGCACCCCTAAAATGTCTCAAGCACTTAATTTTTCATTTACACTGTTAATTGTTTCATCAAACCATTAATAAAATATTATTTTGCTAACTGGGAAATAATGACATACTGTCAAAATCAGAAACAGTATAAACAATGTGTTTTGAAAGTCCTAAAGAATATAAATTTGCATAAGGAAAAACTTTGAAAGGAAACAAGTGTGTATCTCTCACAGGCCTTCCCACTTTAGGGATCAATGCAGGAGCAGCAGGAGCAATAAAATAGTAGCAGTGACTTTTAACAAAAATAGTCCATTTGTTGATTTAAAATAATATTAATTAAAAAAAGAATGAAGAAAAGCAAAGTTAGCTCATAAACAAATAGGATTAAAAGTAATAATTCCAAGAGAAGATAATTTAGAAAAAAACCATTTAATTATAAAATTTATTTTTAAATAAAAAAGCAATGGCACGAATCACCACTCAATTATTTGTTATGATATCCAGAGGCTGCTCTCGTAATCATACACTAAAAAATTTGACTGTTCTCATTAACAGCATTTTCCCTCCTGAATAGAGTGACATCAAGAGCTTCTCAGAAGGTGTAATTTTTCCTAAAGTATTACTAAAAGTGTCATAAACGCAGTTTGTGCAGCACACATTTACATCACCTTCTATTTACTACTCTCTAAACTCCAAAAATATTTAACACTTCTCTCTCACTTCATTTCTCTTATTTACAGTACAGAGCTCACCTCTTGTCACAATATAGTTTGTGCATTAAAATCCCTGGGAATAGTACTTTCCACAACATTTTAATAAATTTACTTGGATTATTTAAAATAGGTGCACAAACAAAAGCTTGTTCACATGACTGTGTCATACTCAGAATAACCCTTCCAGTAGACTTATTCAGGAGTTAAAAAAAAAAAAAAAAAACGCTCTTTAAGTAGAATATGTTCTCCAACCATTACTAGATTATACTATCATGCATATGTATGATGCTAATATGACAATAGGTAAAGCCAGCTATGACTTTTTAAATTCCATTTGGAAGAGAACAGCATACACAAAATGATTTGGCTTTCACTCTCTTGTTATCCATAATCCAGTTAATCCACATGGGTATATTTTATTTATTCTTAGCATATAAGTATTCAATGGTTCGGTAATAATTGGCAGCTTCCGACAGTTCTATTTTCTTGATCGTGGATACAGTTCTGTGCACATATGTCAGATGAACTGAAAAGAATGCAAATCACCTCATGGGGGTACAGCAAGGAGGAGGAGGATATTATTGTTTGAACAAATGATTCAAAGAGATGAATACTAACATTCCACAGGGGCAGGAATACTGCTGAATTAGGTCTGGTTTAATATGTGCTGTTTTCACAACTTGCCACACCTGGTATTTGTTATCTTTTTGGTTAAGAAACAAACCTAGTCGGGGGGAGGCAGATGTGAGGAGGTAAGAACGGTGAGAAAGTATATATTCCAGTATATATGACTTTAGGGGAAAAAGGGAGTAGAAAAAGAGTATACTTTCATATAAAAAAAACTATATCACATCTGGACACAATTCACAGAGTATATGAAAACAGCTCACAGGCTAATTAGGCCCCTTTCCTCTTGCTTTAGAAATATTTGTTTTTAATAATAATATTAATAATAATTATTATAATTCTGGCAGCAGCACAAATCTATAAGTTTTTAAGGCTTAAAAGTGTCACTCTGTAATAATTGGGTACAGCTGAATGATAGGAGTCCTGCTATTTCTTTTATTTACACTCTTGACCCAGCAAGAATTACTACAGAAGTCCTCGTGGTTATCTGCAGCTTGTTAAGTCTTTACAATGGCTTTGACTTTATAACCCACTCCGCATTTGGGTTGAGCTGATATAAGTCCTTCATGTAAGTGTCATCATCGAGGCAGCGTTCCCCTATTAAAGAGATGTTGTATCAGTTTAATACAGGGGGTAGACTGGAGTGCAATTTTAAACTTAAGCTTAATGGTTTGACTGAAGTCTTAGACTTCAAAATACTTCTCATCCCTTCCTGTTTCTCAGCATCATATTATAAGAATTAGCCAAATATTGGAAAAGTCAATTTGATAGCCTTTCTTTAAACAAACAGGTTTCAAATTAATTCAGGAAGCTGAAAAAACTTTGTGTGATGGGCTTTTAAATGGTTTCTTAAAAGCTTATTCACCTTTAAGAGAGGCAACAGTTTTGAATCCATCTAAGAATCCACACTTAATTCCAAAGATCTAAGAGTCACATGAAAAATCAAATATATTACTATTTAAATTATCTTTACTAATAGAGTTAACAATTCCAATTTTCTAGTGGAGTTGTGGTTTATTTAAATTTTAAGGGTGAGCCTTCATATTCCTGTATTCAACTTTCAATATTTACTAACAGTTTTAAGTCCCAGAAAAAAATATTCTGCAAAACTTATCTTAAAATTATTTTTAATTACTATCTCAAATTAAACATCATTTCATTTATTTCTTAACAATTTCACCCTTAACATTTTCAAAAGTTAAAGTGAGAGAAAAAGTTTATTTTAAATTTTAAAAAAGAGACAAATAAGACTCACTGATAATTACAAAATAAAATATAGAACATGGTCAAAATTAGTTTACTTATTCTATTTCTGTTTCATAAGTTAATAACATGAGTGTGTATGAGTATGTGTGAGAGGGAGAGAACGTGTATGTATAAAATTTAGTAGAAAATCAACTACAACAAAAATAATTTCTGCTTTTACTAAAAATATCTAGTGCTATAGCAAAATAAAAGTGTTATCTTCATCTTAAATACGCTCAACTACTTCCTTGTATGACATGGGCATATAAAAAAGAATGAAGTTTTTAAAAATGTGCATCATTAACCATTCTAGAGTTATTCCTAATATAGGGAACCTATCTTTGCTGAAGTTGAACACAGATGAACATCTGTACAGAAGGAGCTCAAATAGAGCCTGAAGGAAAAGGCCGGACCATTAAACAAGTCTACAGTATTCAGCAACTGTCTAAAGGATGTTATATTTTATTTCTCATTCCCTTTTTTCCCTCCAAAGATATAATAACCACCAACAATGTCAAATTAGCATAAAGAATGCAAAGAAAAAAAAATGTGCTTACCAATATTTCCTCCAATTTCATACAGAAAAACTTCCCCTTTCTTGAGAGTCTGGGCAACCCCACTATTCGGGACAAAACAAACTGATTAGTTGTATCATCAAACAGCTTGCAAGTAAATCACTTTAACATGCTTGGGGAATTCTGGCTCATATGGAAAATTCATAACTTAGACACCCTGTAATTATCTACACATTTGTATTTTCCCATCTGTTAAATGTGCCGAATACGTAATAAAAATGTCACACCTGTGAATTAAAATAAACAAATGGAATCATACGTCTGAAGGCAAAATAATAAATCATTATCTAAATGTGTAAAATTAAAAAGAAAAGTTAATGTAACATTTTACTTGCCAATCAAATTATTAAAATATGATTATCTACTTTGCATTAGGGTCCAAAAAGGGCCTCATAAAATTATAAAAAGAAATGTTTCCACCTCAGTTTTCACATTGGGTTTATTCATTAAGTATTTATCGTAGGTCTGCTGTGTTGGCAAGTCAGTGCACAAGATGAATGGAAGGAGTAGGACAAGATTCTGCGCTGGCAGTTCAGATGTGGGAGGTACATACACTCAGCGCAGAAGCAGCCTTTAGGAAGACCTGACTTTACCAAGTAGGTTGTGTTTACAGATTTCTGCTCTCCAAAGAATAAACTCCTTTAGAAAATGAGGTTCAAACATAAAATTGGTAAAATTCAGTGGGTTTCAAATCTTTCTGCAAAAGAATCACCAGAGAAACCTGCTAAAAATTCAGATTCAGAGCTCTAGGAATTCTGATTTAATAGGTCTAGGATGAAGCCCAAGAATCTGCTTTTAAAATGCTCTACAGTGAATTCTGATACATGGGAAAGGTTTGGAAACCGCTGATATAAGGCCCTTAGGACACACTCTCTGGGACTGAGAAGAAGAAACCAGGTCTGACTTGTATTTAAGGCATAATAAGGAAGAATGTGGTACAGGAGCAACTTTCCTATCAACCATTTAATGGCTCATGTAGTGATCTAACTTTCTCCATCTACCCTATGTCCGCAGCACACTGGGCACTCAGGGCTGTGTACCCCCTCATGCTGTGGTTCCACCTGCTGCGTTCTATCCCAACCAGGAGTCAACTCACCTTATTTCCAACCAGGTGCATGCTTATTATTTTAATTAAATAATTAGTTTCATTTATAATACATAACTTGGTAAACTAAGAGTATAAAGAGTTACGGTTTCTATGAAACCCAAACAGAATGTTTTGGGAGACATGGAAAAGAAAAATTGCTCTCAGATTGATTTTCAAGTGTCTGTGTTCTTGTTCCCCTTTAAGGAAACCTGAACTGGATTTCCTGGTACATGCATGTATCAGCATAAGGCCAATCAACAAATTTGTAATTTAAAAAAGGCAACAGTAATTTTTATCAACGATTGGTGAATAAATGCATAATTTATTGTACATTTATTTTATGTCATTTATGTGTTTGTTGGCTTCAGTTGAGAAAGTGGAGAAAAAGGATGAAGGGAAGTAGGGTTTCCAACTGGTCCAATACAAGTGGAACACAAGTGGGAGAGACACGGGAATGTGGAGGAAGAAGAAAAAATACACACACACACACACACACACACACACACACACACACACACACACACATTTATCAGGGAATTCACTTACTAGGTGGCCCAGACAGACAGTGCTACGTGTTTCGTGGTCATTTTCCTAGTTAATTATCATAATACTTATTATACAGTAGATACTATTATGGTCCACTCCTATGACTGAGGAACTTGAGACTTGAGATTATAATAAAAACTAGCCTAAGGAGATGCAGGACTAGTGAGCATTCACATTGATTTTCTGTCTCCAGCAACTTTAAGCACAGGGAAAAGGGCTGAGGATTGGGGGACTGGGCGGGGGGGGAGGCAAATGGAGAGAGAAGTTTATCAGACTTCACTGTGGTGGGAGGAGGACAGAAGAAGGTAGGATGTAGAAGAAGGGACCCTGCTCCAGGGGATAACAAATACTTATTTAAATAAAAGCACCACAGGCAGACAATCCAAATACGCAGAAGGCAAGTGTCACAAAAGTGGTGCTTTCTATAACGATATACTCCCACTGTTTCATGCTCTAGTGTAAATATTAAAGTCATGGTTGACTATACTGCACAACTTCACAGTCAGATTTTGTACTATCAGCAAGCAGAGGAACAAAAGCACAGACTAAATGAGCAATTGGGTCCTGAAAGTAAATGCTGTGCTAATTAACTTTGTCTAGCCTGGAAGAGCTGCTTATATCTGAAGTCTGGCCACACCTTCAGGTAGACAATCTGGGAGAGGAGGGGACATCATTCCAGGTGGCAAAAGTTGGTAGCCACGAAGTCTAGGCTGGCAGTAAAGAGGGAGTGGGTTGTCTTCAATGAAGCTGAGAGACCCTTTTGGCAGCAAAGATGTCTGAGAAATTCCAACTGCCCCCAGGATTTAATCCTGAGAAATTCCAACTGCCCCCAGGACTTAATCCTGAGAAATTCCAACTGCCCCCAGGACTTAATCCTGAGAAATTCCAACTGCCCCCAGGACTTAATCCTGAGAAATTTCAACTGTTCTAGGACTTAAACCCATAAAATTCCATCTCCTCTAAGACTCTACACCAGTGTGGCTCTCTAAAGAGAGATCACCAGATCCGTGATGATCTCTAAACCCTGGAGTTAGTGTGGAGCATCGTTAAGGGACTGCATTTGGAGAAAGAAACCACATATTTAGAATTCCAGCTCCACCACCTATAAAAAAAAGTGTGACTTTGCACATCTTGGATTTTCTTAGCAGTAAACAGAAGTAGTCATAGTGCTTACTTCTGCATGTTGTTGCGAGGGCAGTTTACGCTGGCTTACTGAAAACCCAGATATTACCAATAAGCCTCTCTCCCATTTTATCACCATCTGTTAGCTGTACAGATTCATCCTTCTCCCGATTTATAAACCCTGAGGGAAGGTACTTTAAAATATATGTTTATACCCTTTCCAGCCTAGCAGAGGGCTTTAAACAGAGCAGAAACATATTAATATGTGAAGTACTATATTAAAATTGGAGAGGCTTTGGCAGAAACCTTGATTAGAGACCCCGAATGTTGAGATGAGGAGATTAAATTTTTAAAAAAGACCCAAACAGATTATTCATAAACTAAGAGGCCGATGCCCTGGCATTAGCAGCTTTCTTTCTAAAAATTTATATTCATGTATTTCAACAACTGGAAACGGGGGTCGGGGCAGGGGGACATTAAAAGATAACTTTAGCTAGAAATAAAAATTCAAAGGCTGAAAACTGAAAACCCAGTACACTTGTTAGAACCCCTAAAATTCAAGAAAAGATATTGCAAAATGTCCCAGAAAGCACACACTATAATAGTGAGAGTGACGTCAATAGTTTTCAAAGGACTCCCCTTGCTCCATCGGTCCCGAAATAGAGGTGCAGGGCTTGGTTGTCCTTAATTAACATGGTGTGTCCTCCCTTTATGACTTCAGAGTTAATGGGACTGGGGGTCCTTTCTTAATTCTTTATGTTCTTTTGTTTTTAAATTTGAGCATGTTTTTATTCATTATATCTCACAGAAAAAGTTGTGTCTTTTGTTTTAATCCCACTGTATCCCAATTAGTAATTTTCCTAACAGCCTACAAACAGTAATTAACCTCCAATCAACATATTCTGGGAAGAATACTGAGTGGTCTCACTTGCCAAGCTCATTGCAGGCACAGTGAAGGAATGCTCAGACATCCTGCTTACAAGTGGTTCAACTTGAACTCCAACTACACCAAAGGAACCAAACTCATTCCAGCAGTCTAATTGCTAAGTCTGCTCTCCTATTCTGCCGAGAAGAAAAAATTTTTAAGCACATCACACCACCCCTTAGCTTAAAAAAAAAAAAAGAGAGAAGGAGAAAGAGCAAGTGAGTTACACCACGGAATAATTAAAACGAAACATGCCTCTACCTTTCCTGGCTGAGAAACCTGGCAAGCACATCGCTGGCTTTTAGTTCTTCAGTTAGCTGTATTGCCATGGAAACTTTCGAAAGATGGGGAGCTTGCACTCGAATCACTCCCTGAGGAACGTCAGCCTGCAAAGCAATAATGACACTGGAACAAAGCTGGCAGCAGCTGGAACATGTAACTCTGTACGATGCATTATATGGTAAGTGTGCTTAACTACTACGCATTTTACTTCACTACATAAAAACCTTAACTACTGTATAATGTAATTTGCTAAATTACATCAAACCTCAAATATCCTCTCAATGGTGATAGGGGAACTTTATAATGCTTGTGCAGTAATGCTTAATTATTTTTAAAGATGTAAAGAATGACAGCAATAACCATTACTGCCGTATTAAGTGCTGATTTCTGAGTATTATCTACTAGAGGGTGCTTCTTCATGCAGCGATTTATGAAATTGAATCAGAAAGAAGTTGCTGTTGCGGTGTGTGCACTTAAAAAATCTTCCCACACATTCACAACATTTTACAAAAATTTTTTGTCCCTGCATGTCTAAAAAAAAAGATAACATACTTTTCTAATATATCTGTATTGTGTCTGCTGCCCACTTAGTTAATGAGATTACATTTTGACTATACATTTTGAGCTTAAGATGAGCAGTTCTAAGTCCTCTGCCTGTAGATGTCAAGAACATTTTAGGGATTTGGAGATATCAGTGAAAGATTTTGAGACTTGTAATATCAAAATGACAGCTATAGCATTTGAAATATTAGACTTAATTCTTAAATGGTTCTGCTACAATAAATACCAATTTATTATGTATAAACATATATATTAGACTTTAGAACAACAGCATGCACAAATTAGGTTGAAAGATAATGCTTTGAATACCACAAATCCTGCTTAATTCAACCAAAATTTACTATCTACTGAGTGGCTGATACGGAGCTAGGTCTACTTACCTACTAGATAAATAAGACACAAGTCCTTCATTGCACAATATTATTTTTGTGCCCACAATATCACATCATTTAAAAAATGCACAATGTCTTGAGTTGCTATTTTTTTAACATAAAGCACAGATAATACCGCAAATGCCATTAATTTGATTTCTTTCAAAGATCAACAAAAATAATATGCCTTTAGAATCAAACTGCATAAAAATATGGGTGCTTCCCCACCCCCAAAATTTTAAATTACTTCTCAGTAACATCAGAGATTTAGTGTGGGAATAATAAAGAAGGGCCAGGAAAAAAAAAAAAAAAAGGGCCGGCCTGGGGGCGCACTGGAGAAGTGCGCCGCTTGGGAGTGCGGCGGCGCTCCCACCGAGGGTTCGGATCCCATGTGGAGACCGGTTCCCGCTCACTGGCTGAGCGCGGTGCGGGCGCAACACCAAGGGTTGCGATCCCATTGCCGGTCCCCGGTACGGGCGCGACACCGAGGGTTGCGATCCCGTTACCGGTCGGTAACAAAGACAAAAAGGAAAAAAAAAAAAAAAAAGGGGCCGGCCGGGGGGCGCACTGGAGAAGTGCGCCGCTTGGGAGTGCGGCGGCGCTCCCACCGAGGGTTCGGATCCCATGTGGAGACCGGTTCCCGCTCACTGGCTGAGCGCGGTGCGGGCGCAACACCAAGGGTTGCGATCCCATTGCCGGTCCCCGGTACGGGCGCGACACCGAGGGTTGCGATCCCGTTACCGGTCGGTAACAAAGACAAAAAGGAAAAAAAAAAAAAAAAAGGGCCAGGAAAAAAAAAAAAAAAAAGGGCCAGGAAAAAAAAAAAAAAAAAGGGCCAGGAAAAAAAAAAAAAAAAAGAAGGGCCAGCATATGAGACAGTAGAGGGAGCATGGGATTGTGTAAGACCATGGACTGCAAACACCCACTAGACATACGAGGACACAGCAGAAGACCAGACCACTGACCTCGGAAATCCTGCCGCTCTCACCTGACCACAGAGCACACTTATTGCAAACCCACACAAAGACATACAAAGCTTCCCAAGGCTTCCTAATTGTGACCTTGCTGGGAGAGGAAGTGCGTTCCCACCATCCTTATCTAATTTCTCTTTGGGAGGGGTACTGTGCTCCACTTCATCCTTGAAGGACATCTTAACTCCAACCTCTCAATTCCAACCCATGCCCAGACCCCTCAATTCCTGCTTCATCTCTTGATCCAGCCTGGACCCTTGGCTTGGTTTTTTAACTTCTACTTTCTGGGCTATGTAGTTTGGCTTGATGGCTTAGTCTTGACCTTGCCCCTAGGATTCAAGTCTAATTTACCTTTTTCCTTGATTCTGTGACAGACTTTATTTTCATTTGTAACATTTTGGAAAATGAGCTGCTCCTGACAATGGATGGGGCATTTCATGTGGTGGTAATGTTAGCTTTTTCCTTTCAAAGTAGTTAGTCAAGCAATGATGTAACCACAACTCAGGGAATACATGAACTGCTACATGAACCCCTCTCTTGGCTTTGATCTCTAGCTTATTTCCTGCTGGGGCCATTCTACCTGCTGGCCTGGCCTCACCTGTTTCCTCACAGGAGATAAGCAATAAGCCAGCACTGACAATTTTAATGTTAGAGTGAAAACTGTAACGGGAACATTTGAAGAATTGAGTTCATAAAAGCCCAATACTATCTGTCCACTCAGTAAGGGCAACAAATATTGGTATTTTGGATTCGATCATCTGTTATTATTAATATTATATTGTACAAAGCCCTGAATGGCAGGCTAGGGTTTGCAGATAGCCATCTCCTTGATGCTGATGCTAACAGGAAATCCTGGTCAAGTCACAGTGCCAAATATCCTTAGATATATTTTATTTGATGAAAGTAATGGTGACAAGAGTTATTCCTATAATTATGTCTTACCCAGCCCTAGAATACCAAACAGTCAGCCAAATCTATGCTGACATTTAAAGTGAAGTAAGATGATATGATAAAGTTTTTTATAGAGAGGATCCAAAATAAATAAGTTGCAAAACCAAAATGATCCAGAAAAGTAATGTTACCATAAAGAGTTTGGGGATATGGCAGCCTTAGTCTGCTCCCTGTCTTTCCTTCATTATTCCTTATGGCACTTTCTACTGTTTGGATTAAAAAGGCCAGTCAAATGTTGTTACAAACACCCATACTTTCCTATCTTAGTGTATGTTCTACGCTCCTTCTGAAATATCTCACTGCTGTCCATTTTTCAAGGCCCAGCCAAACACCTCAAACTCCATGGAATCTTCCATGATCCACAGGGTCAAAAGGAATTTCTTCCTTCCACTGAATCTCCTTTACAATGGGGATCCTAGTATATGACACCTGCATTCTAGTTACATGCCACATATCTGAGTCACACCTGTAGCCACCTATCAGTAGTTATTGATTAAATCACTCAAAAAATTTTTTTACTAAAAATGATGCTACTGATAGCAAAATTTCTCTAGAATAAAAAGTATACCAACATGCATTTCCTTAATGGCAAAGAATAATCCTAGGAACACTGTCTAAAAGAAACAAGTTAAGTTGACTCCATCTACAAGAAAAGACAGGAAGGGAAACAGAGTGGAGGAAAATAATTAAAGATGCTACAAGAGATAATTGTCATTTACTCCTACAGGGAGCCAAGGAGAAAAGCTAGAGTTATCAACATTAGCAAGCACCTGCATGAGGGTGTAGCATCTCCTGCTCCCAAGCCCCTCTCCCTACCCGCCCCCCCCATACATCTCATGAGGAACTGAAGGCCTCTAATAATATGACCATAGCACTGTGCATTCTAAATGAGTTCAGGGATGGTTGCTTTGGATAGTATGGCCTTTCTTCCTTATAAAACACAGCACTGAGTTCAGGGTGCTGTCAGGACTAGCATAGAGACCACCACATCTAACGCAGGAATCCAGGGTCTTTCTGATAGTTAAGAGTTTGAAATTCGAGTCCAAAGTACTAGCTTCTAAGGGCATTTGAGAGTTCTCACGTATATGTGCAATGTTAAAAAACTGCCGTATTATGTGACGCAGGAGCTGGCTTTTGCCAATATGAAAAGAGGCATAGGTACTCTCCCATAGGTTCCTATGGCTATGAAATAAAATATTTCCCACATCCCTTTCCCTCAATGAGTGGGAGATGAGCTAAACCAGGTCTGGCTCAGTGTTAACCCTTCCCAAACTAATAAATACAAAAATTCTGAATTGTTTCACATAGTTAGAATATCAATGCCTTTGAAAAGCCTTTCATTAGGCCAACAATGGCACAAGGCACCTTCCTAGGCTGACTGGCCATAGTTTCTGACAACTAGGGAACCTGTATTCTAGCACTGTGTGCATGTATATGTCTGTCTGTGTGTCTATGGGACAGGAAAATTCTTAGTTTGTTTATTTCTGTGATAACACATCCCATCCAAATTCTCACAACAATATAGTGATTGAGAGTCTGACAATGCGAATCCACCATGCCCTTTTTACCTTTGAAAAAGAAATCAGTGTAGTAGATGTAATAGTAAAGATGAATTGCTTAAAAGCTGTTTCTGGAAAGTTTTTGCTGGATATCTTGATAAGGGAGGCCAAATTATATTTACATAAAGATGATGAACAATAAATGTTGCTAAAAATCTCATTTAAATGAAGTATGACAACCACTATCAAACTCTAGAACCATGCTCTATCAAATACTAGAGCTACTAGTATACTAATTACATTGAGCTGCCAAGCTTTGAAAAGATACAACATGCCTGGATCATTAAGCCAAATAGTGTGTTCTTAACTTAAGCCATAATAATAGCTGAATCTGTGCATAGTATAATCTTTGTAACCTTCCTATTTCATGTTTTTTGGTCTAACAGCTGTAGGAGGTGGGGGGCGGTGGTCCTTATGAACTGAAATTTTATGTGAAGTACAGCAGGACTGGAGAACAGTATTTGACTAACACACCATTAAAGTTTAGTCACAAAGGATTTTACGATTTAAAGAATATTAACTTTGTATACATGCAAAGACATTGTAATAATGTATTGTAATCAACAAAATGACCTCAGATGGTTATTATATGTTTTAAATATTAAAGTATATTTTTAAAAATCTGATTTCATTTGCTATTTGGTTAAATAAACAATTATTTTAGTATTTCTTCATAAGGTATAAGCACTAC